TTTTTTTGCTCTTCTCCAGGGAGTGACTTCAGTACTCCAAACAGCCAGGAGGCAGGAAAGGACCCAGGGACTGTTCAAATGTTTGGAGTTTTGCTTATTATTTGCTTGTAGACAGAGGTCTCCCGTAACCCTGGCTGGCCTTGAACTAGCTATATAGTGAAGGGTGGCCTTGAACCTTGAACTCATTCTCCTGCCTCCCGAATGCTGGGCTTTATGCAGGGCGGGGGATGGAATCCTGGGTTCTACGCTAGACACGCACTCTAAGCGACATTCAGCCTGTGTTCTCTGATTTTCCAATTCGGCACTTCGTATCAGACAAATACAGCCACATGGTGTATATATGACGGTAAAAGTTTCTGTTTAATGACAAAACATTAAGTTTAAAAAAAATGTTTTGCTATTGCAATTATTTGGCTATCCCAGTTTATAATTTTTCATTTGACTCTTCAGACTCAACAACTGTGGGTCTTAAGGACTCCTTGGGAGCAAGTGTAATCTGCAAGTTTTCAAATGAAATGAGTTAAACTTAACAATGAACTTGGTGTATAGAGTACTTTGTAGACTTGCTTAAAGCATGTATTGAGTGCGGTTTTTAATTTGTATTTGCAGCTTTTTGTTTGCCTTTTTTTTCTTTTTTCTCTCTTTATAAGTTAAATACTTTATTCAAAAGGGAAGAAGCAAGGCAAAGTCAGAACCAAAAGTGAACAGTGTAAATAACTCAGTGTATGCGTCTGGGATTCACACGTCTTCTGGGTTCTGAAGGCCTTGCATTCCCGGGCCTCTCGGACTCTGTCATTCACATCACACATATAACTTGTCTCTTGGGCTCAAGTTGCCCCACTCCACAACTGCTGCCGCCTGTTGTGCTCATCCATGGTCCTGGAATCTCCAATATCTTGGGGTCACCATTACATCTGAGGCTGCACCTTCAACAATGGTCTCTCCTGGTCTGACACTGTGCCAAGCCTCAGATTCTCTCTGTGACCCCTTCATTCCTGGAGGTCTTCATTCACTGCTGCTGAGACTATACTTTCGCCAGTGGCCTCTCCTGACCTCTCACGGTATAAAGCCTCAGCTTCTCTTTATGAACTCCTGCAGTTCTCCCAAAACCAGTACCACATGGGAGATTCTTGGATATTAACAAATTGGACTTCCAGCTTTAGATGCAGTCTTGGCCCCCTCTGCACCATAGCTTCTGTGTCCTGACCCTGAGGAAGTACTTCCTGGGAGAGTTTACTTCAATGATGCTGGTCTCTTACTAATCACAACTGTTTGGTTTTTTTTGTTTTGTTTTGTTTTGTTTTTGTTTTTAAGCTCCTGCTAACCAGCATCCATTGTCCCGGTAAAGCAGAGGTTTCACCTTAGTAAATGTTGGTCCCTTTTCAATCACAGCTGATTCTTCAGTTCTAACTGACCAGAAATCACAGATTCTCAGTTCAAAGCATCACACAAACAACCTGGATATAGTCTTTAATGGACTCTCAAACTTCCCTCTGGAACTTCATAAGCCAGGCCTCCATCATATGCATTTCTTTGGACATATCTTCCGAGCTTCCACAGAACAGCTCATTTAGCTTTGAGCATTCAATAGCTTTTCTAGTTCCAAATGCTTCCACAGTCTTCCCCAAAACAACATGATCAGGTCAGTCACAGCCATATACCATGTTCCTGGGATCAATTCTGTTCTAGTTTTTTTTTTTTTTAACTAAATAGTTTATTGAGAATTTCATACATGCATATAAGGTGCTTTGATCAAATCCATGCCCACTCCCGCCCCTCTAACTCCTCCCATATCTCCCCATTGCTTTTTTCTGATAACTTCATGTACTCGTTCTTTGACTTACTGTTTTATGGGGCTTTTGACTACTCTAACATTCCCCCTTCTGAAAAGGTAACCCTAAAATCTTTTAAGGATTAGATAAATACTTTCGACATTTTTGGCCTTTGGAACGGAGTATGCTGCTAAGAGGCCAAAGGACACTGTGAGTTTTAGCCAAGAAACTGGCTACTTTAGGGTCTTTTTTCCCTAACTGCCTAGCCAATTCCTACCTCCTGTTCTTATCACACCATCCTCTGAAGAGGTTACCCAAATTGCCAATAAGGAATAGGGACGCAGACTGCTCTGGCTTCTTCCATGCTGAACAGGGACTCAGGGTGAGGCAATTGGAGTACTCCTTCAGTGGTCTATCTAAAAGACTCCCAAATTGCAAAACTCTTATCTTGAGGAGGAAAAGAAAGTCCTTGACTGGTGAAAGGGGATGTGAAGGAAAAGTAAAGGCAAGAGTAATTAGCATTACAAGTTCTAGCCAGAGAACTAGAAAAAAGAACAGGGCAATTTTCAAATGTTCATATGAGAGTCCATTGGAATTTCTTCACAAGGCTTCCAAATCATCCCTCTATTGAGTTCCTCCTCATTTTTCTTTTGTCTACCAAGGCTGGAAGAACTCTAGAGTGATGGATTCAGGATTTGCTTTCAGGTATTTTGCTAGCTGTTGGAGTGGTTAGAATCAGTGTCAGTTCCCTATCAAAGGCTTCTAGATAGGGGGACAAAACAAATTTATCCATCATTTTAGAACAATAGCTGGTTGTCTCACTTAGCTACAGGTGGGCACTACAGTACTGGAGACCAAGTTTTGAAGTCTTACATCTGAGTAGCACTTTCTGGTTATCTATATATTGCTTTTCGTAGGATGGTCATTTTCACAATATTAATTCTTCCAATCCATGAGCATGGGAGGTCCTTCCATCTTCTGATGTCTTCCTCAGTCTC